ATCATTCAAATGCCATTCCATTTTACTTCATCTATAAAATGGGGTATTGCTTATCCACCATGTGGATTTTGGGAGAGAGAACCATTAAAAATGGATCTTTTAATTCTAAGTCTATGATCCTGTGATTCCTAAGAGAAGGATTAAAGGTACAGCTTTCAAATGACTTCTTGCCATAATTTCCATTGCCAAGTTGTTGAATATGACATTTAATTAAGATAAGGACCTCCACTCTTAACAAATTACATAAAAGTTAATGGAGTAGGTTGGATCGATCAGTATGACCATGTCTAATGCAGTATGACTGAGCCTAGGAGAATCTAGTGTGGTCCAAGATGAGATGGAATGCTTTCCTCAGAAAAGGAACTGGAATGGGATAGTGCAAAAAGCACTATTCAGAAGATCTGGGTTCAAATCATGGCCTTTACATTCTCTGTATGATCTTGGGCAAGTAAGTTTTCTCATCTGTGAAACAGGGATCAGTCCACAAGCAGCTGTAAAGCTCCTACCAAGCACTGATCTAGAAATACAAAGAAAAGAAAAACATAAAAAAATCCCTGCCCTAAGGAGTTCGTGTATGATACAATAGGGTAGATAATACGTAAAAAAAAAAATAGGTACCTATGGGATACATACAGAGTAGAGGGAAGGTAACTTAAGAGAAAACTCAAGTGGCTGGAGTGAGGAGGAACTAAGAAGATCTCTTGAAGAAGACAGGACTTGAGCTGAGATCTCAAAGGAAGCCAGGGATACAGAAAGGTGAAGGGAGAGAGCCTTCCAAGCATGGGAGAGAGCCAGTGCAAAGGCTCAAAGATGGGAGATGGAGGGTCATGGGTCTTTTATAGCGCTTCTTAAACTGTAGGTCATGACCCCATTTGGGGTTGTGAAAAATTTGGCAACAGTAAAAGGTTTCTGAACACACAATAACCAAAAATTAATTCAAAATCAAACGCACAATGAATCCAAGGTGTTTCTGGCAGCGCTTGCCCATGTTGCATCAGATAACTTTGCTGCAGCCTTGGTTCTGAACACAGAGCATGCAGTTTTGTACTGTGCATGCCCTCAGCCCATGCAAGGCCAACTAACAGCTGCCTAAATGCTAAAAAAGGTCTCAAGTGGAAAAAAATTTAAGAAGCCCTGGTCTAGAAGACAGAGGTGTCTAGGCCAGTATTGCTGGACTACAGAGTGCACGGAGAGAGGAGAACAGTGGCAGAAAACTGGAAACTGGAAAGATAGAAAGGGAACAACTGGAGAGCCTTAAATGCCAAACCAAGGACTTTATAATTGATCCTGGAGCTAGAGTTTGCTAAGCAAAGGGACTGGAGGACAGAGCTATGCTTTAGGGAAATCACTTTATCTGCTGAGTGGAGGATGGATTGGAGAAGGGAGGCAGTAGGAGGCTAATGTAATCGTCTCCGTGAGAGTTGATTAGGGTCTGAATTAAGGTCAGAGCTGTGTGGCTGGAGGGAAGGGAACCAATTTGAGATATGTTTTAAAGGTAAAAATGACAAGATTTGACAACTGATTGAATGCAAGTCATGAGTGAGAATGAGGACCTGAGGAAGTTTGTGAACCTGAGAAACTGGGAGTGTGGTGACAATCTCAACAGTAATAGGGAAGTTAATAGAGGGAAAAGTTTGGAAGGAAAGATGCTAAGACAAGATTGTCTGAGGTTACTGGGAGACAACTTTGTAATCCCTGAAGTATTTCAGAAGTATTGGTTCTCACCCTTTAGGGGCATTGCTACTTAGCTTTTACGTGTCCTAAAGAAAAGGGCTGGTGGGGGCCAAATTGGTGAATGTTAGCTTCAAAATATGACTTTTAAGTTTGTTAGTGTTTCGGATGTAATTCTCCAATGTGTCCTTTCCTCATTTTCCACATTCTTCCTCCCCAGCCCAGTCATATGAAATGGATGATAGAATTTCCAAACCCACAAATGACCCACTGCATGTGGCAGAGGGCTATCTCACTGGCAAGTGCATTCCTTTGGAGAGTGGGATTCTGTATAAGTCACATCTTCTTGGATCTATCCAAGGATAGGTCCTCCTTAGACTTATCCTATCAGTTTCAGGGTATCCAAAGAATCTCAGTATAAGGTGGTTTCACCTGTAAGGGAATCCTACAGCCTAGTCTCCAGGGATATCATTATAGCACCAGTGTGTAGTATATCTGATTTATCAGGGCTCTAATAAAGCTGATGGCAACAAATTATAAAACAATTCAGGTATATAACCAATAGCTCACAGTGCACTTTATTGTTCTTGTTTCACAATAATAACCAGACAGACACAACAAATTTAATGGCAATGTGATTCCCCTCCCCCCAACTAACAAAAACAATGCTGTTGTATTTAATGGTAGCAAACTGAAAAACTACTTTACCTTCATATATATATATATATATATCCAAGGTACTGCATAAACAAAATTTGCTTTATGTACAATTATGCTGGTGATAATGAAAACTCAGCTCCAAAGTTAAAAACAGAAAACTTAGAGTAGTTCCTGGAAGATAAAAGTCAAAATACTCTGCAGAAAGTTGAATTCTGTTTAAAGTTTAACTTGGGGGGGGGGAAGAGTCCAAGCAGATAGTATCTGGATGTTTTGAAAGCTTCAGAAAATTGTAATGAATATAGCTGTTTAAGTTCCCCAAAGGAAATCAGACCAGCTACAACCACTTCACAATGCTACCTTGGCCAATATAAATGAAGATCATGTTACTTTCCATCAAGCAAACTAGCCACAAACTTTTTCCCAAGGAAAGAATGGAAATACATGGAGTTAATGCCCACTTGCATAAGAGTCAATTTGTAGTAATTGCAACCTTAAGAATCACTGCTATAATAAAGCCTCTCTGCCATATATCTGCAAGGTCACAATTCCCGTACCTTTAAACAAGTGACTTGGATACCAAGTTGCTGTTTCAGCCTTAGAAGTCATTAATGTGCTGTCTGTTGTATATAGAGATGGCATGATTGACTTGCCAGCAGCAGAACAGACACTTCTGGGTTGTTTTTCTGAGAGCAATGATGAGTTTCTACTGAACCATCTACAATGTCCAATTCATATTTTGACAGGTTACTTAATTGTAAGGGCCCATACATTCAGTGATCATGGAAAAGGGAACCAGATGACAAGAGAGAACGCTTCTTTCTTGCACACCTGACTGGTATCATTATTTACTCAGTTTAATTAGAAAGAATCATGAATTACATTGTCATCATTATCATCATGCTCTATGAAAGCATCACGATGGCAAATAAGGAAAGAAGAAATATCTCTACTGTAAGGAAGGTTGTATCAATGACTATCCCACTAGTTCAAACACATGACTGTTTAAATACCTACCACATATACCCAGAATGCCAATTTGTGTGCAGAATGGCAACTTTCAAGAGAGTTTTTTGATCATCAAGCTAGCATACTGAAATGGACTTCAAGGTCCACTGGTACCAGTAGAGCTGTATATGAATGAGGGTGGTAAAATGCTCTTAGATGCTATACATTCACTTATCACACTGGATCATTATCATATGATATTATGTTTAGCACTAATAAAGGTTCTATTTCAATTTTCCTACATTTACTTTACAGTAAATTAGTCAGGTCAATTTATTCTATATCTTTTAAGGCTGATTTGATTTGGGGGCAGCTAGGTGACACAGTGGATAGAGCTCCAGCCTTGGAGTCAGAAGGACCTGAGCTCTTGTCTGGCCTCAGACATTTCACATTTACTATCTGTGTGACCCTGGGCAAGTCACTTAACCCAAACTGCCTCAACAACAAAAAAATTGATTTGATTTTAGGAAATGTTCTGGTATATTATTATTAATTTCCAAAGACACATTATTACAACAAAAACTCCTAAAAACACATACAAGTCAAAGTAACAAGAAGAATCTGATTAGACTCTACTTGGACTTGAATTTGAGGCCTATGTGGATATTTTTGTTGTTGTTGTTGTTTTTCATGTGAGCAATCACATTCATCTCCTGTTGCCTAAGATACTAAAGGACAGAATTGGAATCAGAGCTTCAACTATGTTCCCTAATGTCCTTAGAACCATTTGTTTTCCAAGGGCCTTCCTCGGTCTTTCACACAGCCCATGTAAATCATTCAATGTAAGTGATAAGAAAGGGAACCATAGCCGCAACGTTGAAAGGACTCAATAGGTTATAACTGGGGTTTAAGATGGAGGTTCTTAATTATTTGTTTCAATGCAAATTAAGCATTCCTGGCCTCTTCAAAATTTAGTCAATCCTTGATGTCAGATTGCTGGGAAGGTCCTGATTCTTCACCTTTAAACATGACTCTTAGTCCCTTTTGATTTTATAATCATTGCATCTAGTGCGGGGAATGGAAGAAACACTCAATATTAATGCTTGATGACTGACTGCGTGATTAAATGCCATTTCTAAATAAGTGGGCATGTCTGAAATTTACAAGGTGAAATGGAGACTTGAGGGCATACTCTTGTTGTGTGGTTGGTTTTGTTTTGTTTTTACCAGAATTATCTGGGTACTTGTTACATTTCTGAACATCATTTTCCACAAAGAGAGTCTAAAATGATTTCTGCTCTTTATGAATATTTTGGCTGGTGGAACTTGGTTGACTACCCAACATAGCATTTTTCTTCCTCTACATTAGAGATGCTTTAGTGTAAAAGTGGTCCTTTTCTACATGAAAGGTTTTCAAGTCCTTTTGGAAGTAAGGGTTTATTTATTCATGACAACAATGGAGTGCTCTTTCCCTCATAGCTTTTTCTTAAGGCCAGTGGCCCCAACTGAAAATGTGTGTCTTTTATATCTGTGCCCTAGCCAATATATGAATCACTTTAAGTCAAGGATGGAGGAATGGCTATTAGTCAACACTGAGTGTGAGGTGTGTGTGTGTGTGTGTGTGTGTGTGTGTGTGTATGACATAAAAATCAGGTGTAAATGATTCAGTGAGGGTATGCCCAAAATAAGAGAGAGAGAACAATACATCACGAAAGAAGAGGGAGAAAAGGTTTGATTAGTTCAGACTTTTATATACATTCATCATTTCTAGTATGTTTAACAATAAGAAATGCATTAATTATCAACTAGTCTCTGAGCAAGTGCAGGCATGGAAATACTGTACAATTCTAGAGTCAGGTGGCAAAAGTTTTTCATGGGGATTATCAGAAACGAGATCCCCAATAGCAAGAGAAAACCAAACAAACTTCAACCACCGTGACTTTTTTTTTTAATATATATACACTTTACTAATATACTGGGAAGCCCAGGTTGTAATTTTTTTAAGGACAATAACAACAACAACCACAAAGACAACCAAACACCAATCAGACTTTATCTTCTAAATGTCATAAGGTACTTCATATTACTTCTAAAGCAGCGTGGAGAATCTTGACACTTGGAGTGAACTATAAAACCAACTCCATGCAGGTGATCTTGTCAGCATAGCAGCATGGGGCTTTTGGTTCAATATTTGCCACTTTTGATAATGTAAACCTTTCATAAGATAATAAAACATTTCAAAATTCAAACCAAAAAAATCATTTCATCTGCTTCACTGATTTGATTCTGAATAGTGACTTATAATTCATACCATTTTCCACTCTACAAGTCTATTCTGTTCCAAGTGTGAACCCATAAGTGCTAACTCTTATGAAAAATGGCCCATTTAAATCAGCTCCTATGGCTTTACTTGGTACCTCTATTTAAACGGGCCATTTTGATGCAACTCTGTAAAAGTCAAACACTCCCAGGGCCAGATTCTTAATTGCTATAAGGCCCTGGAAAATAATTTTCATCCAAATAGACCCCATGGTTATAGCTAAATGTGCACATTGTCTCAAATAACTCGAGTTACTAAACTCAGAACTGCCCAGGTCAAGTAAATCTGCAAAGAACAAGGTCGGGGGACCATAGCAAGTGTCATTTTGCTTTGTTTCAACATTTCTGTTTCAAAGCTAAGGTATATAATCATGTTGAGACGAACTCCCTCAAAAGCTACATTTCCCTCTCCTTTAGCTGTCTAAGGTCCAAAGGCTACGAGAGGTGTTGTTAAGAGTTTCTGGAGAGTCAAAATACAAAACTTCAAATGGAAAATCCTCATCCTTTCTAACAAATAGTGTAGAGGCCATAACTGAATTTTTTTTAAATGCTGAGATGTACATACCAAAAAAAAAAAAAAGCAGCTTTGAAAACACATCAACTACAGCATTAAACATTGAACAAAGAACATTCCAAAGTTAATACAGATAAATGGTATATAATGCCATAATGCCTCAAAGGTATTTCATATACATCACAAAGTGAAATCTAAACTTAAAACACAAATTCTTCTCTAGTTTATGAGCTGGAGGCTGGATCTTTTTTGAGATTCTTCTACAGTTCTAGCCATTTCTTTTTTCTTCTCTTTTCTTTCTTTTCTTCTCCCAAGATGTGCAGATAATCTCCATATTCCACACCTGGAATTTTTTCACCCCCTTCCAGGTTTTTAAATAAAAACAAACAATAATAACAATAAGTTCATGAGTTTTACCATCAAATTCCATAGGCATAAGTCAGTTAGTCCACAACATTCCTTTTGACATTTCCCTTCTTTATTAAAATCTTCCTTTGAACCACATGGATATGTCAAAGGCTCAGTCCCCACATACAGGCATGCTGTTTGGACAGTATTTGGTACAGTTTACCACTCCTCATCTGTCTGCCTTATTTGAGATACATTTATAATCTGGATAAAAAAGGGTTTCAAGTCCTTCCTTTACCATGTTTCTCTTTCTTTCTCTCTCTCTCTCTCTCTCTCTCTCTTCTCTCCTCTCTCTCTCTCTCTCTCTCTCTCTCTCTCTCTCTCTCCTCTCTCTCTCTCTCTCTCTCTCTCTCTCTCTCCCTTTTTTGCCTTCTCCTGGACTGAAGCAGTTTTCTGAAGCTGTCAAGATGATCTGGGTGGTGACTTTGTGAGCCTTTTCTTCTTCAGTGGCAATCTTAAGAAATGACCAACGTGGAAAAAAAAAACATTTTCGTCCCAAAGCTCCACTTTAAATTGGAAAAATGAGCCTAAATTGATTTCATTATCTCCAATTTGATAAACAGCCCCTAGCAGAGCCCCACTTAGAGTTCTTTCTTGAATTGAAAAATGTTTCTTTTATTTGCCAATGGAATTCAAAACCTTGCTAACTTCCAAAGATTCAGAGACCACACTGCACTGTTTAGAAACCCTCATGGAGGCCAGCGCCTGCATGGGCTTGGTTCCAGGAACGAGCCCACTTAGTTGGGACACAAGACAGGCCTGCAAGCTGCAGTCTCACCCTGGAGAAACAGGCACTTACGGTGTCCTGATGTTTCTGTGTGAGTAGCTCAAAAAAACACCCTGATGCTGAAGAAATCACTGACATGTTGATTTCTTGACGTTCCAAAGGAGCCAGTTTCCTACTCAGAAAGGGAGTATTTGGACTGACGTATCTCTGAGTGTCTAAATAGACAAATCAGTGTTTAAGGTATTGGATGATATTGTCTTAATTGTTAAAAGGCTGTCTCGGCACAATTGGTAGCTTAAAAAAATACTTTCATTTATGGTTTAAGATTATATTTCCCATAGCTGTCCTGGGGAGGCAGAAGACATGTGAAGAATCTTAATGGATCATAAGTCTGCCCCAAGGTTTCCTTTTACCCCCCCTTGGATGGTGTGTGTAGCATGCAAATCATATGCAAAGCATCTGTTTTTCCCAGGAGGAAATAATTCTACTTCGATTCAGGGCAAATAAATGCACATAAAATGCAGCCCACCTCCCTAACCTCAAGCAGCCTAAAAAATCACTCCCCGACAGTAAGGTCCTTTGTCAGTTTGTTTGTTCTTCGGAGATTGAGTCAGTCCAGCCAACTCCGTTTAAAACAAATCAGCGTTTATAGGCACAGGAGATTCCGTGTGAAGCCATAGTAAGTGTTACTTTGCTCTAAGCGGCAGAGTTTCTGAAGACAGGAGGTTAAATGTAAATGTCTTAAATAAATAATTTTTAATAATGTAAAAATAAATGATATTTCCCTTTGGCAGTAAATAGCTGATTTAATATTTTGCCCGAAAGTTTGTTTTTTTCCTCAAATGTTTTCCTTTTTTCTTCTCTTAAAGAGACCACGTCCAAATTTCATTATGTATCACCGAAAAAAAACACATATTATTTCTACAGTTTAGTGAGCCTTTTGCATATCTGTCCACTGCGTGCTTGCGGATTCATTTGTGTCCCAGGTAGGCACCAAGAGTGATGCAAGCTCCCACCAGAGCCAGGCTGAGCAGAGTCTTCAGAGACAGCCAGGAGAAATCAAACAAAGGCCTCATGCTGTTGCCATACAATTCCACAAAGGCATCCTGGATAGAAAAAAAGAAAAAAGTGGGATGTCAGTAGGAATTATGTCACACCAATTCAAAGAATCACAGAAAAGAGTGGGAAGGGACCTCAGTAGTCACCTATCTGCAGCTGTCCAAGAGTCTCCAGCTACAACCCCAACAAAGGGTCATCCAGTCTTTGCTTGAAAATGAGGGGGGACCCACTGCTTCCCAAGGTAGTCCATTCTGTTTTGGGAGAGCTCTAATTATTAGGAAGTTGTTTTGCACCTTCTATCAAGTCATAATATGCATTTTTTCAAAACCCACTCATTGCTCCCAATTCTTTCCTCTGGTGCCAAGTAGAACAAATTGAATCCCCCTTCCACATGAAAACCCTTTCCTTAGATGTTTTTTTTTCTTTTTTTGAGGCTACACGCCCCCAGTTCCATGGACCAATCAGATAAGAGCCATGTCTTTTGAATCAGTCAGTGCCTCTTGGGTAAGTGATTTAGGGCCCACTGAGTCCAAAGGAGTTGGATATAACGGGATGACATCCAAGTCTATGCGAAATCAGTTCCAGAAAGAACTGATTGAAGGTGGTACCTTCAGAGTAACCACAAGGAGATCACGGACGGGAAGAATGGCTTCTGTAACACAAGTCACAACTTTCCATGGGAAAGATAGTGAACAATTTCATTTTGGTTCATGTAAAAGTTGGCACAACAGCTTTCTGCCCTGAACTTGTGGCGAAGTTTATAAAGCATCCAATGTTGTATAGCTGCTGGAATGAAAACACTTTGGGGGCTGGAAAAAAATGAAAAGCTTCTATCTTTCAGTTCCTTTGGACCTAGCTTTTGACGGTATGTTCTGGGAACATGCACAAATTATGTGCATTTGACCTCCCTGAGCCTAAATGTGCTCATCTGTAAAATGGGAGGCATCCAGACAGCTCAGTGGATAGAGACCCTTGGGCCTGGAGTCAGGAAAATCTGAGTTCAAATCTATCCCCCGACACTTGCTAATTGTGTGACCCTGGGCAAGTCACTTAACTTCCATTTGCCTTAATTCACTGGAGAAGGAAATGGCAAATCACTCCAGTATCTTTGCTAAGAAAACCTCATGGACAGTATGGTCTATACTCTGCAGGATGGCGAAGAATCAGACATGATTGAAAAACAACAACATGGAATAGTAATACTTGAACTACTTACACTATAACATTGTTGTGATGAAGGACTTTGTAAACCTTAAAACACTACAGAAATATGAGTTCTTTTCTTAATTTATCTAAGAATTGAGTTATGGATGAAAGTTCTTTTAAGTTTCATCTGTCTACAGCACAGGGCATCAAATACTTTTCATTTGGAATACTAGCACTTACAACTTAAAATACTTAGCATCAACAGCAGCCCAAGAGCAACAACAACACTAGCACTTAACTGTTCCTTTATTTAGGTATTTAGAGGAAAAAGAAGGGGTAGGAGTAAGTTGTTTCCAACAGGCTTTAAATGAAGTCCTAACATTTTGTGTTAGGTGAAAGTAGCACATCGTTCATTGAGATATCATTATGCGATATATTCTTATGAAAATCATGGGGAATGCACCACTTTGGATTCTAAATTGTGGACTTAACTCTTGCCAGGCTTGTGAGCTAGAACTAGGTTTCCTCTCCTAAATTCAGTCCTTGACGTCAGCACTGACCTGACTGTTAAGACCTTGGGTCAGCATTTTAATCTTTTCTGTTTTAAGTTACTTGTATAAATTGTAACAGCCTCCAGTAAGGCTTGATGAAGGTTTTGAGCTAAGTTGTTAGTAAATGTCCTTCAGATATAAAAATGGCATAATGCACCCCACTGTCATTAGGTAGAGCTAGCAGGATTAGCCAATTTACCGAAATTCACTTAGCTAGGCACAGCAGAGGCAGCACCACAACACATGTCCGCTACTGACCTGTAAGGTGCCTTGTAGTCCCCAAACCCCATTTGTACATTTCCTGTAGGAGTCAAATTGTGTTTCAAGGAGTGAGGATGGATTCAGCTGACTCATCTACACTCTCTCACTTGGTTAGCCAGCAAGGACCGGTCTTCTGCCATAGTACAAAGTCAGGTTAAGTGGACCAATAGATGAGTGACGGGCAAAGCCATGATTAGCTTAATCCTGATGAGAATCTAACCAGACTGAGCTAATTGACCACAAACAATTGGTTGCTTCAGCTTTTCAATTAGGCAAAGTCACATTTTTGCCACAAGAGGGAGCAAGGACTCCCTCTAACCTTTTCATATAGACCTTTAATAAAGTTGACTCTTAGAAATTTCTGACAATGTTTTTAAGAGAAATGTGTATTTAAGATATGCAGTTTTCTAGGAGGATGGTTTGTGATGGGTCTGGAGGCTATTTTTATTCCCTATTCTAGGGAAGTTATCTGAATATTTAAAAGGGCAATTATCTCTTCTTTCTCTTTGTACAGGGCTTGATAGTCTTCAACAAGTTGTCACCAAACATGACCTCATATGATCCTCATGACAGCCTTGTGAGGCTGGCAGCCCAGATATTATCATCCCCATTTTACTGATAAGGGCACTGAGGTTCAGAGAAGTTGTAGCCAGGGGTGGGAAACCTCTGGCCTCAAGGCCACATGTGTCCCTCCAGGTCCTCAAGTGTAGGCCTTTGGCCAAATCCAAACTTCAAAGAACAAATCCTTTTATTAAAGGGATTTGTTCTACGAAGTTTGAATTCAGTCAAAGGGCTGCACACTTGAGGGCCTAGAGGGCCACATGTGGCCTTGAGGCCAGAGGTTTCCCACCCCTGACCTAGACCCTTTTTGCACTTGGAAGGGGACAAGGATAAGGGTGGGGATAATATGAGGGAAGCCCCACCAATGTCATCACTTCCTCACTTGGAAGGGTACCCTGTGTCATGGGCTATAAGAGTTCCACCTGCACATCTCCACCCCATCTCTGTCCCTGGGGCTCTGCCTAGGTACTTCCCCCAACCACCTCCTCTCTACCCCACCCCACAACACACACAGCCATAAATACAGTCTGACCCTAGTCACATTCTAGATAATAATTTTATTTCTATTATATGTTATCAATAAAAAAAATTGTGCTTTGGTATCGAATGAGATAAAGAAGTAACTATTTTTCTTCAGATGGCACATAATGAATGATTCACATTGATGGAATGCTAAGAACATATAATTAAAAGCTTGTCTCTACAGCCTACCCCTTTGACTGGCCTCTGCCCCATAAGTGCTAACCCTGTTGTTATTTTTTTCTCTACCAGGAATTCCATTGTATTAAAACTAATTTATTATAGAAACAAATCACAATTTCTAAGGGGATTTTTGCTGCCACAAAGATGATCAGTGGCTGACAACTATATCACATTCATTAAATGTTTAAGTCACATGTTTTGGCTGAAAATAAGAAATACTGATATAAAATGCTTGGCTTAAAATAATGAAACTTCTTAAGGAATTTATAGTGGTATGACATGAAGAAGTCACAACCTTTCTGGACATGAACTAACACCATTAAAATGGTATTCCAAACCTAGATGAGCTCCCTCTGTCCAATCCAGACATCTTCCCACAACACCACTCCACACTCTTACATCTTGAACAATTATTCAGAGAAGAATCACATGCATATGATAATCAGCCCACAAATATGTACTCAGCGCCATGGTAAGGGGTATAACAAGGTTTTCTCCCTTTCCCCAGCTGTAGTGAAAAAGTACCCTTGGCCACAGAAAAGTACCTTGGACTGTGTAAGAGGAAGCTGGGCATGGGGAACAGGTACTGTGATTTTGCTTGGCCTATAACCCATATGTAGGGTATTCTGGTAAATGTTAAACAACCTCCTCTCCTATGAACACACTTTATAATTTAACTAGCATTATTAATATTTTCTCCATCATTTTCTTAAATCTAGGCAATCAATAAAACAATAAATCAAGCCCTGATTTGTAGTAACTGCAGATTTCCAAGGCATAAATGTTCATACTGAAAATTTAACATCCTCTGGTACACCCTGCCTGCCCCCCACCAATACACATTAACTCCCGTCTCCAATGGTAAATTTGCACAGGAGCCTTATAGTGTAACTTTAGCATACTGTTTTTCATTTATCCTTATTAAATGGTATCTTTCATGAAAACCATAAAACCATATTGAAATATCAGCTTTTACAAAATTATGGGGTCAGGAAGATCTGAATTCATATACTACGTCAAATATTTACTGCTTGTGTGACCCCAGGCAAGTCACTTAAATACTGTCTATCTTTGTTTCTTCATCTGTTAAATGGGTATTATAATAATACCTATTTCTCAGGGTTGTTTTGAGGATAAAATGATTTAATAATTGTAAAGCACAAAATTGCAAAGCAAACCTTCAAACATTATATAAATGCTGCCTAATATTATAGCAAGGGAAGGGAAAGGAAAAGAGTTTAGATCCAGACTTTTAACCTGGAATCATCCCAAAGAGCTCATCTGGACTGGCTCTGCCTCCCATCTCTTTTATGTAGGTGGAATGTCATTATCTTCTTTTTAAGGGAAAGGGAATAAATATTTATTAAATATCTACTAGCTGCTTGGATTTATACACATTATTTCATTCGATCCTCATAACAACTCTGTGAGGTAGATGTTATTATGATCTCCATTTTACAGTTGAATAAACTGAGGCAGAGGTTAAGTAATTTGCCCAAGGTCACACAACTAGTAGGTATCTGAGCTAAGGATGATATAACTGTGGCTCATAAAGTTAATCCACTTGCCTTAGGATATGCTGATGATCAGAGGCCTTTTATTTTCTGTGGATTTGGCTATAGGCATGTGTACTCAATCAAAGAGTACATTTCTCTTAATCTAGAGTAACTAAAGAAGAAATTCTAGGTGGCTATAGCCCTAACAAGTGGGCAGACCTGGTGCTAATTTTACAAGCAGATAAAGTCTTTCTAAATGTTCATGAAAGAAACGCTATTACAGTTGCTGGAAAGTCCTACGTTCTAAACAAGATTACTTAGTGCATGCAT